CTGGCTTAGTGTATAGGCAGAGGTGCCGCCAACCCAAAGGTAGGTGGTTTGAATCTACTAACTGCTTCTCAGAAAGAAGATGTGTCATTTCTGCCTGGATAGCATCTAACGACCCAGTAGAGGGTCAGCTATGTGTTGGTTTCAACTCAGTGTCACATAACAACAATATCAGTAACTTATTACTCGGGAGATTCTCTCTTTGATTTAAAGTCAACTGTTAATAGATGTTGACTACATCTACAAAGTACCTCCACAGAACCATTAGACTAATCTCTGAACAGTTGGGTACTATCGGTTACCCATGTTGATACATAGAACTAACCACTGTATTCTACCCGCTCATAGTCTTAGTGAACTTTATGAAACAGGTTTTTGTAAATTGTGATATTAAAAATAATGAAGATTTAAAGAGCCAATTAATTTTTTAAATATTACTCTGATTTATTTACAAAGTTTGAATACATTGTTTTTCACAAAAGATCCTTCCCATTTCCTTCACCCCACCCACCCACTGAATTGTGGAACCCTGTGATTTCCACCCTCCCCACCCCCAATGCCTTGTGGTTTTATACAGAGTTTGTTCTTGTGGGACTGAGTTAAGAGACAATTAATTTTTCATCCAACCATTCATATAAATTTTCTTGTATAACGTTATTTTTAATACTTAGAATGTAATCATGGGTTCCCCACTTCTTCCCTATAATTCTGATTTCCCTTAATCTTCATATATCTCTCTGTGCCTTTCTTTAGTGATGTTGTGATTGATCATTCCTTTATTGTAGATTGCCTTTCCTCTCATCCAGCTTGTTGTTGTTATGTGCTGTTGAATCAACTGTGACCATACCAACCCTTTGTATAGCAGTTGTGAGCCCTTCTCTGTCTTTTGCCAGTCTCACTAATTCTGACACACCAATCCTCATTGCCCCAGTCACTGTATCAATCCATCTCATCTGGGGTCTTCCTCTCCTGTGCTGTCCCTCCATCCATCTGAGCATGATGTCCTTCTCCAAGGACCGATCTCTCCTGGCCACATGCCCAAAGTAAGTGAGAAGGAGCTTCAAAATCCTAGTCTCCAAGGAGAGCCTTGGTTTCACCCTCTCCAGGACAGACCTATTTGTTTTATTGGCAGTCAATGACATGTTCAAGACTCTTCTCCAGCACAATCCAAAGGCATTGATTCTTCTTCTGTCATCCTTAGTCATTGTCCTGCTTTCTGATGCATAGCAAGTAATTGTGAAGACCATAACCTGGATTAGGCAGGCACACCTTAGTCACTAGGCTGATATTGTTGCTTTTCAGCACTCTGCAGAAGTCCCTCACAGTAAATTTTCCCAATGCAATTTGTATTTTGATTTCCTTACTGCTGGTGTTAAGAGTGTTCATTGTGAAGCTGAACAAGCTGTAATTGTTGACAATCTCAGTCTATTCTCTATTGTGGTGCTGCCACCTGGCCCAGTGGTCAGAATCTTTGTCTTCTTGATGTTAAACTTCAATCCATATTGAAGACCTTGACTTTCTGCAGCAAGCACTTCAGATATTCTTCAGTTTCAGGAAGCAAGGTTGTGTCATATGCATAATGTAGGTTGTTGATGCCACATTTCTCCTCATAAAGCCTTACTTCCAGAATGATCTGTTCTGCAAATAAATTGAAAATGTATGGAGGATGCATTCCTATCTCACTCCTTTCCTGACTTTGAACCATGTAGTTTTTTGCTGCTCTATTCTGACAACTGCTTTCTGGTCAAAGAATAAGTTTTTCATAAGCATAATCAAGTGTTCTGTGCCTATTATTTATTTACTAGGTTTTTTTTATTTACTAGTTTTTACACTCTTCTCCATTCTTTCCCATTTCTGATAACCATTCAATAATTATTATTTCTATGCACAAATCTGTCTTTAAATTTTGGTGGTCTTATATAATAATTGTATGTTTCTGACTGACTTTTGTCATTTAGCATAATGTATGTCCTCCAGATACATCCATTTTATACAGACTTTATAAAATTCTTTGTATAGTTTCTTTATCCATGTGTCCCTTGATGGGCGCTTGGTTTGTTTCTACCTGTTTGCTATCTTAAACACTGAGTGCCACAGTGAACAAGGAGGTAAATATTTCTGTTCATGTTGCAGCTCCTATCTCTTTAGGATATATACCTTTTAATAGGATTGCTGGATCAAATTACATTTCTGTTTCCAGTTCTCCAAGGAAATGTCAAACTTCTTTCAGTGTGGTTAGACCATTTTATGCTTCCATCTGTGATGTATTTGAGTTCCATTGTCTCCACAACCTGTTGTTTAACGTCTCATTGAACTTTTCTATTGTTACTGGGATTCCTATTCTTAGAGTCAGCCATAGTATGTTGTGAACCACATAGTCAAATGCCTTTGCATAGTCAATGAAACAAAGATAGACATTCCTCTGATACTCTCTGCTTTCAGCCAAGATCCATCTAACTATAGCTCTAATAGCCATGGTACCACAGCCTCTTCTAAACCCATACTGCTCTTCTGGAAATTTTCTGTTGTTGTGCTGTTCCAGTCATATTTGGATAAATTTCAACAAACTATGTCTATCTCCGAGAAGCGTGAGAATCCCAGAAATACTTGATTGTACTTATGTGAAACCTATACTTGGACCAGGAGGCAGTCATCACAACAGGGCAAGGAAATACTGCATGGTTCAAAATTGGAAAAGGTGTATGTCAGGGATGTGTTCTATCTCCATATGTTTTCAATCTATATGCAGAACAGATTATCTGGGAGGCTGGGCTCTTTTGATACCAGCATCCAGGAAATCAAAAGATTAATTGGAAAAGTCTGGTGTCAGGGACCTCTCCAGAGGACTGAAGAACAACTCTATCAGTCTGGAGAATAAGGTGCACCTGATCCAGGACATAGTCTGCAATTATTTGCTAAGAGTGCAAGGAGCTCAATTTAAACACTAAGGTGCACCTGACCCAAGACATAGTATTTTAATTTGCTTCTTACCCATGTGAGAGGGAGCTCTGGTGGCCTAGTGATAATAAGGTACACTGCAATCCCAAAGGTATGTGGTTCAAATCCTCCACCTTCTCTACAGGAAAATGAGGGGAAGATACCTCCCATGCAGTTAACTATCATTGAAAACCTGCTGGAGGGTCAGCTATGACTCAGTAGTATACATCCGCAACAACATCCATATGAAAGTTTGGCACTGAAGAAGGAGACCAAAGCAGAACCAATGCTTTTGAATTGTAGTGTTGGTGAAGTGTGTTGAATTGCCAGAAGAGCAAACATCTGTCTTGGAGGAAGTCCAACCAGGGTGCTCCTTAGAGGCAACGATGGGGAAACTTCATCTCACTTACTTTGGGTATATTGTCAGGAGATGCCAGTCCTTAGAAAAAGAAATCACACTGAGTAAAGTAAAGGGTCAGGGAGGGAGAGGAAGCCCCTCAATGGGATAGACTGTCAAGGTGATTGCAACAATGGGCTCGAGCTTGGTGATCATGGGGATGGCACAGGACAGGACAAGTTTTCAATTTGTTGTTCACGCAGTCACTGAGTTATAGTCAACTTTACAACAACTCATGACAAAGAGAAACAGAATGGATTTTTTTTAGCACTAATTTTATAAGCTGAATACTGAGTACTTTGCATTGTTTTATGAACAATGAACAGCATTGTTTTATGAACAGCACAAAACTATGAGTACTGTTATAAGTGCTGTTAGCCTTACTTTTGTTCTCCTTGACATAGACATAGTTTGAACCCACTCATAGGTGATCTCCGTCAGGTTTCTAAGGCTGTGAATCCCACAGGACTAGGTGCCCGTCTTTCTCCCAAGGAGCTGCTGGTACAGTTGGACTGCCTGCCTTTGTGCTGGCAGAACAGCTTTGTATGGACTAGGCACTGAGAGCTCCCCATCCTCACTTTGAAGCTCTGAAAATTGATGTGTAGAGCAATTCAATAAGATGCTTCAGTGTGTGAGGCTCATCAGGCAGTCCAACTTCATAACTCTAGCTTTCTTTTTCCTTTTTTTTTTTTTTGGCTTTGTTTCAACTCTAATCTTATAAATTCATTTTAAAAATAGTACCAAGTCTTTATTATCACAGCAGTTGTCATCATTAAAGGCAAGATTTAACTTGTGCTCTTAATAGACTTTATTCTACATGTTTCTGTCTGAAATTAAAACCCCTAGGTGGTGCAGTTGACCAGGGTGCCTCCTAACAGAGGCATTGACGATTTGAGCTCCCTCAGAGGTGCCTCAGAAGAAAGACGTGGCAACCTATGTCTTAAAAGAAAATGAGACACTGGAAACTATAGAGGATAGCTCTGTTGTGACACACATAGGTAGCCATGAGTCAGAGTGTACCACAACTGATTTTAGCTATTTACACAATGATCAGGGTGACTCATAGCTTGCTCATAGAGACTCCACGTGCTGCAGAGTATAGCTCCCCCATAAGTAAACATCCGTAGAGTTTTCTAGACTTTAATCTTTACATGAGCCAAATACAGAGTAGCCTGGCTGGCTTGGAACTATTACCTTTTGGTTCGCAGTTGAATGCTTCTTTTTATGCCACTAGAACTCTTTGTGTGTATGTCTATGAATAAAATCCAACTCCATGGCGCTCTAATGGCAGCTCTCCATCAAATTTCTGAGTAAATCCTTATAGGAAGAGGTTGCCTGTCTTTATTTTGCTAAAAGGCTGGTGGATTCAGACTGCTAACTTTCTGGTTAGCAGCCCAACCTGTAACACAGTACTATGAAAACTTGGAGAAAACAAAGTCTTGAGTATAGATTTCCTTTGTATTTGACTCTATAGTAGAAACTATTTTATTTTTTAAATTTAGACCCACTAGAGGTGGAAAATATTAATTTCCTTTGCCATGGAGAAATCCAATAATGGACTGAAATCAGATTTCATTTGGGTACTCTTTATCAATTAAATCTGATTTTTGTTAGCATTTTTATAAGCTCTCATTTGAAATCAATTTTTTTAATCTCTTTCATGAAACAGCACATATCTGAATGAGAAGTCACTCCAGCTGATGGAAAAATGCAAAAATCTGCAAGATAGCATTGAATCTCTATCTAAGAAAAGGAAAGGGTAAGTTATCTTCACTTGTAATTTAATTTAAAAATAGCTGCTTTGTATGCAAAACGTTTCTTAGCATCTTTGGAATCATTAGGGAAATAAGATGGTGTTCTCTTACAAACTTGATGGGTGAGTTCTGAGGATTTTCTGTGGGTGAGAAGAAGCCTGAGCCGCATAGGCCAAGGTCAGCCCTCACAGTGGGACTCAGCTTGTACGTTCCAGACTCCCCGGTCATTCAGAGCATCATATGATTTTAGTGGCTAAACTTTTATGGAGCATCAAGCCTTTTGAGAATCTGATAACTTTTAGGAAAAATGTACACTTGCACATGATTCTGCTCTTGATTTTGGAAGGTTAACACAACTTCCATCCTCCATTCTAGCTGTGACACACTCCCACTTTGCCAAACTCTGCTTTTATTCCTGAATTTTAGAGTTAGCTATACTGTATTGTCTGACCAGAGTAAAAAGGAAATAGAGAAGCTCTGAGCTACGTGTTGGTGATGTGAGATTCTGATTGAGAGGCACTGATTTCACTACACCTGTAATCGCCAGAGTCTTATAGGGCCAATGGGGAGCCCTGGTGGTGCAGTCCGTAGGGAGCTGCACTGCTAACCCAAAGGCCATGTCTCTCTAGTGATTCACACCCACCAGTGACTCTCAGGGGGAAAGATGTGCAATCTCATCCCCTCATATTCAGGCAATGAAGACCCAGTGACTTTCCTTCTTTTCTAATCTTCTCTTCCTTATTCTATCTCTCTCTTTCACATATACACTCACCTGCATGCAGTTTTTCATTTTCAAATGTTAGTGTTGGTAAGAGAAGGAAGTTAAGAAGTTAAGCAATTTCCTGGAATCCGTTTTACCCTTCACTGGGGAGTGTGGGGGCAAAGAAAAAGAAACTTAAGGAATGTGACCTAGTCTAATCTCCTGCTCAGCAGGATCTCTAGGAAAATAGACTAATAATGGTATTTGCTTGAAGGAAGAGCTCTTAGCCATTGAATCTATTTATTAGGAGAATCCTGGGCTAAGGTGTTACTTCTAGGGAATTTTAGGAGCCTACTGGTGAGGAGTTGCTCTGCCAACTCAAATGCAGGTGCTTTCTCCCCACAGGAGAAAGATGAGCTGCCTCCTCTGGTTCCATTGACTACCTTTGACAATGTCCTGGATGCTCAGCTAGGAGCACTCTCCAGCTTAACCATATAGCACAACAAAAACCTACCAAATGTAACTCAGGATCCATGAGACAGGCGTCCTCAGAGAATGACACTAAGATTGTCCAGTGGCTCTCTGGGTATAAAAGTGAGATGTTTCATAATTTAAACACTCTTATGTATGGAACTCTGTAAACCTTACTGGAAGACCTTGCCTATTGTTCAGAGCCACAGGTACAGAGAAAGAGAATGGGGTCACCTTGTGTCCCCAGTTCCTCTCTGCTTTGTCTGAGCCTTTTGATTACCTTTGAAGGATCTCCATTTTTTAAGAAGTCTGACTTGGCTGGCCAATTTTCCCCATTAGCCCTCTTCATTACAAGAGAATGTCACTGTTATTTTTCTTCTCCTTTTACTTAAATTCTGACGGATTAAAATTGAGCATGCTAGACTTCAAGGGAGCCTGCGAGGGTTTCTAGTTTCTTCTCCTGTTACTCCTCCCATGAGGGTCTTGCAGACTTCCTCTGTCTGTGCACATTTGGGTATCTGGCATTTCTTTGTCTCTTAATTTCTTAACTAGCAACCATGACCATAATTGTTAGATCTTTTAAAATTTTGATTTAGATCCCATTCCTAATTCCTCCTAGAAATCTTCTTATAAATCTCTTTTATTAAGATAACGATCCTATCCCCCCTGGCTAGTTTGGAAGTCTTTTGAAAACAGCACATACTTTCAATATGTGACTTAGCACTAGAAAGAAGCAAAATACTGAAAGTAACCCACATGGTAAATTAATCACTTTTCTCTTTCTGGATCTTCACTGATTAAAAATTGAGAGTCTGTCGTGTTGCAGCTCCAGTGTCATTTGTTAAATTGGAATGGTAACATGTATTAATTCAGCACGCCACGATTGGACACCATCTGCTGTGTGCGGCTGTGTTCGGTGCCATTTGCTGTGACTTTAGACAATGAGGAGAGGCCAACCAGAAGGAGGGTAAGAAGATCATGGTGGGTCTTTGAAGCCCCACCAAAAAAGTTTGAATTTTTATTCTAAGTGTGGTGAGGCGTCAGTGCAAAGCTTAAACCTGGGGTGTGGCATGATCTGAGATGGGTGTTTTTATAGGATTCTCTCATGTTAGAGCAGATAATAGATTGAGAGGGCAGGGTTAGATGGAGAGTGAAGATTGCACTCAGGATAATATTGTGGTACCAGGCAAGAGGCTAAGATACCATCATTTCTCTAGTCCCTACACGCTGCTCTGATTGCGGAGGTGGTTTTCGAAGTTCTGCCTAATTATTACTGCAATCCAGATGTATGATGGCAGCAACATTGCCATCATTATGGTGATGCTCTTAGAACAAGAGATCATCAGCCTTCTGTGAATGGTTCCTAGTGACTCAGTACTGGTTCCCAGTACTGGAAGTTGATGAGTACAGTGTAGGTCCAATTACATACAATTGAGTAAATTTTCTGAGAAACTTAATAACAGTATTGGGCATGAAACTTCTAACTCTATGTTACATGTTAGTTTTCAAAAATTTGCAGTTTCTCTTGTGTCTTAACTTTCAGTAGAATCCTGTGTTACCTTCTAAGGGCTGCTGTAACAAAACACCTCTTCATGAATGGCTTTAAAGTACAGAAGTGTATTGATTTTCAGTGCTGAAGGCAGAAATCTGAGACCAGAACATTGGCAAGGCCATCTCTCTCTCCCTTTCCCTCTGTCTCTTTCCTCTTCCTTCTTTGTCTCTTTCAGCTTCTGGTAGCCCCAACTGTGTCTTGGCTTCTACTTCTATTTTCATAGCGTGTCTTCTTCCTGTGCGTGACTCTGTCTTTGTGTGCCTTTTCTTCCTTTTTGTATGACACCTCCCAGCAGAGATTAGGATTATGATCCATTTACATCTCTGGTGGTGTGGTAAATAAAGTATCAAAATGCTAACCAAAAGCTTGGCAGTTCAGATCCACCAGCTACTCCAGAAGAGGAAAAAGGAAAGAGTCCTGTAAAAATTCAAAGCCTTAGAAAGCTGATGGGGGGTCACTGTAAATTGAAGTCAGCTGGATGGCAGTGGGCTTGGTTTGGTTTTGCATCTGCTCTGCTGTGACCTCTGAAAACATTTAACTGAAGACAAAATGAGAACCCTGTTTCCAAACAAAGTCACATTTACAGGGGATAGAACGTCTATGGATCTTTAAAGGAACACAGTTTAATCCACAATAGGTGGCTTAAAACCACAACAATGTATTCTCTCACAGAGACTTTTGTTATGTGCTGTTGAGTCACCTGTGACTCATAGCAACCCTATGTACAACAGCCCTAAACTCTGCTCTATCCTGTGTCAGTCTCACTATCTCTGACAAACCTACCCTAATTACCCAGTCACTGAATCAATCCACCCCATAGATGGTCTTTCTTTCCTGCTTGCCTCTCCACGCTCCCTAGCATGACATCCTTCTCCAAGGACTGGTCCCTCCTTGCAACATGTCCAAAGTATGTCAGACAAAGCTTTGGAATCCTTGCCTCCATGAAGCAGCCTGGTTTAACCCTCTCTAGCATGAAACAGTTCATTTTCTTAGCAGTCCATGGTATCAATACTCTTCTTCAGCACCACAGCTCAAAGGCATCAATTCTCCTTCTATCCTCCCTAGTCATTGTCCAGCTCTCTGATGCATAGCAAGTGATTGCAAAGACCATGGCCTGTATCAGGTGCACCTTAGTCCAGAGTGACACCATTACTCTTCAGTACTTTGGAGACTTTCAGCAGACTTTCCGAGTGCAATTTGTCTTTCAATTTTCTAGCTGCTGGTGCCAAGCTAACTAAAACTGTTAACAATCTCAATCTCTTCACCATCCATACTGATGCTGCCAATTGGTCTAGTGGTGAGAACTGTTGTTTTCTTGATATTGAGCCTTAATCCATACTGAAGGCTGCAGTCCTTAACCTTCTGTAGCAAGCACTTCAGGTCCTCCTCAGTTTCAGCAAGCAGGGTTGTGTCATGCGCATAATGCAGAATGTTGATGAATCTTCCACCAATCCTGGTGCCACACTTCTCATCATACAGCCCAGCCTCCCAGATAATCTGTTCTGCATATAGGTTTAAAAGCTATGGAGATTGGAAACATCCTTGGTGTACACCCTTCCCAATTTTGAATCATGAAGTGTTCCCTTGCTCTATTCTTATGACTGCCTCTTGGTCCAAGTATAGATTTTGCATTAGCACAATCAAGTTTTCCGTGATTCTCATTCTTCTCAGAGTCAGCCACAGTTTGTTGTGATCCACACAGTCAACCCCCTTTGCATAATAAATGAAACACAGTTAGACATTCCTTTGATACTCCCTGCTTTCAGCTAAGGAAGAAGTTCAAGCTGCTTGAAGGAATTGGAAAAAAAATATGGCCCCAGGAATTGATGGTATACCAATTGACGTATTTATTTTTTCTTTTTTCAAAAATTCATTTTAATGAAAATTTACAGACTTTGGATTTCCATTCATTCATTGTTGCACATTCATCCCTGCCCAACCTCCCCTCCCCCAGTTCCCTCTTCTCTTTGGAAAGTAAAAGAAAAATTCTTTCATTGCTATACAATTCCTCGCCCCTAAGTCCACTCCACTATGCAGCCTTTGTTTTGATAAGTAAAAGAAAAGTTCTTTCATTGTTATACAGACCCTCCCCACCAAGTCCACTCCACTATGCATCCTTTGTTCTGGACTCCTGTCATGACAGTAATACCTAATCATATATCCCTTTTAAACAGTTCTCTGCCTCATCTGTTTCAATGCAGTATACATAATTTGTCCCATCTTTCTCAGGCTCCCCCCAACCCCAATGTCAGTCTTGTTTCACTATGCAGTATTTGTCCTTT